GCAAAACTTATACTTTAAGCAATATTTTGTTTTCTAAGCAGGAAGGACAAAAAGAAAAACTTTATCACCTAAACTTTAAAAGCCAAGCTGTGTAGAGGAATGAAACAAAAATGAAACAGATGAGGGAGCTTTTTCATTTTTCCAATTCATCTGAAACCACTAGCCTATATTGGAATTCAAATACTTTCAAATTGCCTTGATCAAAAAGTTTAAGGGAATCCAGGCAAGAGGCGAGCGTCGTGCCAGCAACAAGATCTTTACAGCTCAATACAGTTAATAAGACTCGGGCACTGCGCCAGTTTGGAAAACTCCACATTCACAGACCACCGCTGCAAGCAGTGCCAAGCTTGGAGAAGACCATCTCCTTCAGGTAGTTTCTTTTTTAGGTCAAGTTTTAGAAAATGCTTAATTGAGAAACGGGAGTTTTGCTAAAGGCCGCAGTGTTTTCAGGAATAATCGTATTTAGGGGTGGGATTGAAGAAAGCCTATGCAGAGCCATAGTTAGCTCTGCAGGAAACAGATAAGGAGACTCTGCTTCTTTACTTCACATTTTATCAGCAGTCATAGGGGGATGCCCTATAGCTTTCCGGTGCAACACAAACTCTGTTTTTTGCATAAATGAACACAATTTAATGTTATTCATGATGGCCTCCTTGCTCTAACTGCTCACACACGAGTCCAGTTTAGTTGTTTTTTTTCTAAAGTAACATTTTAAGATGCTCTATGAAGTATCAGCCAAGCTGCTGACAGCAAGCTACATCAACTTTACTGCCGTCTCAGCGAGGGCAGTGACAAGGCAAGAAACAAACTAGCCTGCGGAACTAAGGTGAGCTATAACACTATCTCTAAATCAATATATTTCATTGTTTCATCATGGCAAAAAAMCCACTGAGAGAAAGAGCTATTAAAGTTACTTTTCAGAACAGAAAACCTAATTTATCCTTCCGTAAATGTCATACCCCTACTGGTTTGATTAATACATCCCAKCCCTGTGGAGAAGTTGTTCTGTATTCGGAACTTCGAAAAGAAATATGGCAAATCATTTTGTAGAATGAATGAAGATGGCCTCCACAGTTGAATTCCTCTTTCAAATGAATTCTTTCAGAATGCAGACTGTCTTCTGTAGATCTCAAAATTCTTTCTTTTTGGTGGTAAGATTACTGTTGTATAACTAATAAAGCCTTCTGTAGAATGGACTGAAAGCAGTTAGACTCAAGTAAGACTTTTTTTCTACTTATTTCAGAAAAAGGCTGTATAGACATGATGGTGTTATGAGAAATGTGGAACATGGGAAAAACTGGAGATTGTTTTGTACATTGATAATAAGTTTTTGGAGATTATATGCAAGGATTTTCATGAAAATGTGTTTTATTTTAAATTTGAAAAACTAGCAGGCAATAAAAATACTAAAAAAACGAAAACAGAAAATTGGAGGCAATGGAAAATGAAAAAAACTAAACAAAACACTTGGGAAAGGAAGCAGAGTAATGGTTGACAAAGTGATTAAGGAAAAAAGACACAGTGTCCCAGGAGTGGGACAAAAAAAAGAGAGTGACTGTTTAGACACGTTTGTGTGAACGTTTGTTTCTCAGAAATGGTCATTAGTCATAATAAATGTCCYTGAACCTCCATGAACCAAAAGGTATCTCTTGCTAACAGACTGCCCCTCCGTTGGTAATTACACAGGGAGGTCTGCAGCAGGTGGCATGGGGCTGAGCAGCATTTCCATAAATCTGCATGTGTCACGGACCGGCTGCAGCCTCTGGCATTCTGAGTGATTCTCACTCACACTCGACGAACAATCTGTTTAAATTCAACCGATATGGATAGCAGGGAGGAAGTTCTCTGAAACCAGCGCTCATTGTGTCCAATTATTTGACCCAACACATTTGTACGAGTGATTTAGGAGAATTTGTGGCATTCACCAATGTTTTCATATTCTAAGATTTTTTTCAGATAYGAACAAAATTCACGAGTGGTCCAGACCTGTCGTATATTTTACGAGCAGTCAGTCTGCTGTTATCCAGACGGATTTTCTTCATTAATAACTTTATATTTCGTTAGTTTGAAGATATTTTGAGTTGAAAATAAATTACACTCCATAATTACTGTATGTTGACAATAAGCTATTCTGCTTGAATTAGAGTTATAATTTTTAATGTAATAATTTAGACTAACAATATAAATTGTCCGTTCGTCTGTTTTCCGCCGCTTGTCTGGGATCAGGTCTCGGTGGCAGCAGCAAAGAGACCCCCTCTCCGCAGCGACACCTTCCAGCTCGTCCTGGGGGACTCCGAGACGTTCCCAGGCCAGAGGGGATATATGATCAAGTCCTGGGTTTTCTCCAAAGAGCCAGACTTATTTTGACTTATTTGTACGGTGCGCAGCGCTGTGGCTTCTGAATAAATGAAAATGATTTAACACAGTTGTTTATACTTTTAGCAGCTCTTTTTATCCCACAGCTGACCTGCTAAAAAAGGACAGATTTTCTTTTCTGGATCTCTAACAGACGGACTTCAATCTCTGAACTCGTAAAGTTTTTATTTTTTTAGTTTTTGCTGTCATTTTTCATGAATGAACACTTCCTGATATCTGAGGCAGGAAACATAGCCTTATATGGTGTTTTTAGGGTGGTAATTATGTTAATCTCCTCTCGCGTGCACGAGCAGCTGGATACGAACAGGTGGAATTTACGCAGCTCATTTACACATTTTTCCTGAAGATAGAAGAGTTTGTTGAATCTGACGTGACATGTTCGTACGAACCCTTCAAACGAACAAAAGTAAGAGAAATTTAGGAGAAGAATACGAACATGTTCTTGCATGAGGCCCAATGCTCTGTTTACATGCAGACGTTCCCTTTTGACATCACTTCCTGTTAATTCACATGTGAATAACTCAACAAGTTTAATTTATTTTATTTATTTATTTATTTATTTATTTATTTATTTATTTACAGTATATTTATTTATTTATTGTATTTTTTTGCACTGTTATTAATGTTATCATTCCAGAAATTGATTCATATTTATTACAAAAACCAGGCGCTTAAAAAATCAAGTTGTAAAAAAAATTACCTGTTTTTTTTTTCACACTAACACTGGAAAAACTGGAGTGTTTGCCGTGAGCATCACATTTGAGATTAAAACAATTCCTCAATAAAATTGCATGAAATATTTCTGTAGCCATTTTCTTCTCAAATGTGCTTCTAGTTTGACCTTTTTGTTAGTTTTGAACAGAACAGACTGAAATTCCATTTAGGATCAAGTGCTTTTAATTTTTTTTTCCACAAACACTTGAAATAATAACGTGAATTGTGCAACTRAATCAACAAAACTGTGCTGAAGTCGTGCCGACACTCGGTTGTTGAAGAACAAACTTCCTGAGTCGCCTCCACAAACGTGTGTCAATAATTTTATGAGCGTTGTGAAAGTGCGCGAATGTGTGCGGCCCCTGCCTTCTGTACACGTAYGTCTGTAAGCAGCGGTGAGCAGTGGGACCACCCCCGCCCACCGTAAAAGGTGTTTCTGCTGACAGGAGCATATTCACGGTAATGGAACCACTCTGTCGTCCCAGAGCAGAGCACTAAAGCAGAACTGAGCTCTGTCTTCGGCTACACGCACCACTGAACCCCGAGATGACAAAATGCCTCAGTAGCTGACCGAATCAGGTACAATAAAGCTGAAGAAAAAAAAAGGAAATTGAAGAAGAAATTCACAGATTTGTCACATTTTGCTGTCTATGCAGGAAAGTATGTATTTTGTATTGGAAAAGCTGTCTGTCAGTTCAGAGCAGCACAAAGAAAGTTTGTTCTGAATGAGAGCACCTTTTAAAGCGCCGCATGCCACTTTGGCCATAAAAGAAGTAAATGTGTGTATAGGAACAGCACATTATGTGCATGTCACTGAAGCAGGTAATTTTATTCTGCCAGTGTAGCTTTGTAATGCGGAGAACAATTGGGAGAGCGGCGGGATGATGAAATAAACGAAGAGGGGACTGAATAATGAGACGGGAATTAAAACAAGTTTCCGAATAAATGACAGGCTGCATTAACAAACTATAAATTATTCCTATTTGAATTTACATACTTTCATTGTATTTCATCAGACCGCACAAATAAAACAACAACTGAGTGGAACATCCGATGAATTATTGAGCACATAAATTAGTAAGTACTTCCTCAGCTCGGTGGCAAAACGACTGCAAGCTGTCAACACAGACGGGGTGTTGACAGCAGACGTGTCAGCAGCCATAACTCACAGCCCCTGAGGAGTGGGCTCCAAGCTGGGAGAACTTATTGATGATCTCTGTGGAGATGAAGTGAAGGTGAAGTCCGGAGGAGCAAACTGGACCAATCAGCCGTGATGTATAGAGGTGAKATTGTAACTAAGTTTTGAAAAGCTGAATGGCTGTGGCAAACCGTAGCACTGAATCGGGAGGGGTGAGGATGAGCTAGAATAGGGTCAGAGATGCAGCTGAGTATTCATAACAAAACAAACAGCAGCTGTGAACTATGCCACCTTCAGTTCAGAAATCMTTTTAAATATGAATCTGCAGACACGCCGGCACACAGAGACCACTCAGGGGCTTCCTGGGCCGGCATTTTCCACGAGACAACCCTTGCATTATTACTGTCTTCAGCTGTTTTTTTTATGGAAAGAACAAAAAGCAGGAAACTACRTGTGGAAATAAATATTCATTGATGGAAAATAATTTATTGGCAGACATAGTTTATGCTGTTGTTGCCACTGTGGCACAAAGAGGCAGCTCCAGCCTTTTTTTCTTTATCAGGTGAATGAATTCTGTGGAATGTAAAAAAAAAGCCAATCTGCACACAGACACATCTCGACCTTAATCCGTCCCTATCCCCTCAACATGTTGCTCAAAATTCATCAGATTCCTCACAAACAGACTGAAGTTGCTTCTATTTGCAGGAAAGACAGATTTGAAATGAGAGARGGAGCCGATGAAACCAGTGATGTTCTGAGAAGTTTCACTGACCTTGCAGGAGTGCTTGGTCTTTCTGGAAAGGTCCACTGTCCACCAGCTGGTAGGTTTTGACCTGAAAGCCAGGCAGACAGGCGTCRTGGCCTCCATCCTCTTGGCCACCTACATGAGCAATCTGCAAACACAGGAAACAAAGTAGCCATCAGAAAGATGCACAACAACACTAGATTCTCTAAGAAAACAGGAAACGAGGCAGAAAAACAATATCTTCTGCAACAGAAACTAAAACCTTTGACATGAATAAAAAGCTAAGTCTTTGAGATCAAAGCAGTCCCAGCTCTGCAGATCACAAGTTTTCAAAAATGATTATCATAAAACTGAACTGAAGTAATAAGAACTGAGAAGAGGAGTTGTACTGATCCAGTTAAAACCAGCCAAAATGTGGAGAGAGGGGTTTTTCCTATACTGGGCCTTTGAGTGATAAGTGGAGGCTTCACGTTGGGGAATCAACCAGACTCAAACATTTCTTTATTCTCTGCCGCTTGGATTAATTTAAAATGCAGTTTGTTTGTTTATTTCTTGTAAAGATGATGCATCTTAAGCTTGCTTGGATAATTAACAAAACAAAAACAGTTTTATTTATTAAGCAAAACATTTTAGAACACAACAGCACAGCAGAACGGTGGTTCAAGCTGAGCCCGAGGCTATTCTGGGTGAAGATTACATGTTCTCCCTGTCCACAAGTGGACACTGGGATCTCCTCCTGAACACYAAAAACACGTTAGGTACATTAGTGACTCTATATTGTCTTCAGRTGTGGGTGAATGGTTGAATGGTTGTTTATCTAKGTAGCCCTGGGATGGACTTGAAACCTTTCAGAAGGCTGCTGGAGCCAGACCAGCTCCCTCACGATACAGAATAAGTGCAAAAATAAAATAGATGGATGGATGGATGGATGGATGGATGGATGGATGGATGGATGGATGGATGGATGGATGGATGGATGGATGGAGCTAGAACACTCTTTTGTAACTCTCAAAGTAAATAAATCACAGACAGGTTTGCATCATGTGTCTCATATCAAGTTTTTACTTGAGTTTAATGCCTGATCTTTGGGTTGTATCATCACGTCATACGGGGGAATTCTTCATCAAATTATCCACTTACTATTTAGAGACCTGCAGCCAGTTTTAGCCCATAATAAACTAGCTTTAGCGTACACCCAGATGTGCRCACAGGGAAGAGTACTGCATCTCTTGGCACAGCTGGAGGAGGTTGGACATTAGAAGCACTTCAACAAGGAAAATGGAAATTGTAAACCCACTGTCGCTGAAGTACAATGGTGTTGAGACATTATTCATGGGGGGCGGGGTATTACAGCAAAAGAGCACTGAGTACCACTTCTATCAAGGCAAGAAAATATAATATTTCAAGGAGTCTTGACGATCAAGTGCATGCATCTGATAAAGAAGGAGACATGAGAACAGATGAGATGTTGAGAGAGAAATTGAAATGATGTCCCTCAGTAATGTATATAACTAGATAAAAGGTTACCAGAACATGGTATATCTTACACCACTTTCAAAATTGGGGAGATGTCTTCTGTTCTATTAAATTGAAGGCACATTCCTTGGTTTAAAAAGAAAGCTCCATTGTTTACATTTTGTTTTAGTAAAAAGTTATGTTTTGAAAAAAATGTACGAAATAAATTGTATTTTTTWATCAAACTTTCATGATTCTGTGTGTGAATTTCTACGTGTCTGTATGAATGTATAAAATCATTCAAGTTCCAAATGGAAAGCACATCGGGGCCGCTTTCTTTGTGCATAAAAAATACCTTATGAATAAAGGTTAATTTGATTTTGATAAACATAAAGGGAGAAAACAATTTAGAAAGCTATTTTACATCCTGGTTACAGACAGCATTGTTTTTGAATGATAGAAATATTTAAGCATTGATAATTAAATTTTGAATAAACTTTGCAAGGACAGGTTTTCAAAAAAATCTAAAATATGCTGATGAAGCAGTAGAAGACTGGGAACCTGTCTGCACGGTGAACAAGCACAGGGAGAAGAGGTCGCTGCGTGAAATGTCCCGAGAAAATAATCACTGCACTCAGAGGACATGTGTCAAAACATTAGTTCTCTTCTGTCACATGGACTTCCTGACATGGTGGGACCTGATGCAAGCAGGTCTATAAACTCAATCAGATTGACRAAAAGGCCAGAACCTTTTCTGTATTGCTTCCTGGGGGACATGAGCCAGAAATTCAGACGTGGAGGTAAATATCATGAWYGTTGTTTTTCTTTCTGCTGCTCCCTCCTGCAGGAGTCACCACCGTAAGTGAATTTGCATAAAAGACTTGTTTTACACCAGATRCCCTTCCTGCTGCAACCATCACTGATCTACTGCAGCCCCTGGTAAATATAACGTGAGGGTTAAAAAACAAACAAATATCATATAGGCACAGCTATGTGCACCCAGTTTGAGTTCCATTAGGAGGATAATAAGACGACCCATCCCTTGTGACTCACAGACGGACGGTAAAAGCACTTAGGTAACACGTTGTTAATGTCAGTGCTGTTTGCAAAGAGGGCTATTACTGTGGACTAATATCACAATTTTCCTCATCAGGAAGGCATTCGAGAMTAAACTAGAAATGTGAAGGTTGCACAGTTTTATCCAAACATGAGCAAACAAACAGGATTTTATCAACGTCTGCCATTTATTAAAGAAAAAGTCAAAGTAATTGAAAAGTGATTTAAAGTGAGGAACCTACTTCAGGCTTTTACATTTGTGTTTATCCTTTTTGTTTCTTTACTCCCTTACTTTACAATCAGAGAGTTAGCAGCACATATATGGAGAGATAAGATGGAATCCATGTTATTTTATGGATAGTAAGCATTAAGGCAGGAAAGCACAGAGGTTTGTGTGCAGTGAATACAAACATTCTTATCTGTTTCCCTGTGAACAAGATGAGAGAATGTGTGTGTCCAGAGGGCCTTAGTCATTGTTTGATTATTAAAGACTTTCTGTGATGAATACATAAGTAAATGTATGCCTTCAGCATAATAATTAGATGTACTATAATGCGTGTGTGCAGAAGTAGCAGAAAATTATACTTTTTTAGAACACATAATGAAGTGCTATTATAAAAAACTGCAGAAGAATGGTGATTCTATAATGAGACTGAGTGYGTTTGATGCACGGTTCATCTCTAATTTCATAAAGATACGACGCAGCTATTGTCTGAGTCTGAAGAGGATTTAGGAAACTTTAATCTAACAGTCACTCAACTTTATTTCATTTTCCCTAATGTCGACATGAGTTCGTTTGCACAAGAATGGAGAATGTGTGAAAATAAAACTATGCGATTCTGAGTAATTTGATGTGTTGCTGATGCTATGTGCACACGTTGCAACACCTCTCACACCTCAGAGTTTTGCTTCACTTTCCATCCCTGCGTCTTCTTACAAATAAAATATAACACATTTTTGCTTTGCCATACCACACTGACAAAAAGAATTAAGATAGAATCTGAAAAAAAAAGTCTCATCTGAGTTTGATGAGATAAAAAGCAACACATGCCCGATGAATAGCCCTTCATCTAAACAGGGCTTCAAGCTAAACAAAACAAATGTGGAGCTCTTATGTTGAAACGTTTTTGAGATATAAGCATTGTTGTATGTCCAGACCCCCCCACCC